TCCTCCAGGTCTGGATGCTCCAGGGCATAAGCTGCTAGGTGCCTATCAATCAGGGTCAAGGCTTCCCTCCTTACAGCTGCCCTTTCTCTCCTCCTGCCGGCTCTCCCCTCTGGCGATGGAGCCCTCTCTGATGAAGGAAGTGGGGCCTCCTCTCTCCGCAATCTCCCCTCTGCCTGACGAGTGCTCCTTGGTGCATCCCCGAGTCTCAAACCTACCGCTGGCGTCTGTGGGGGCGTGTCCTCTCCAACCTCTATCACTTCCTTCCCTGCACATCTCCCCACGTCGCCCAGCCTGCTCTCTCGCTGAGTACCCTGCGCCTCCTCTCGTGGCACCTCCTCTCGTGGCACCTCCTCTTGTGGTACCTCCTCTCGTGGCACCCCTTCTACTTGCTCTTCATGCTTCTCATCCTGAGGCGACGCTCTCCACTGAGAGATATCCAGATGCGTCTCCAACTCCCTCAACGGCCCTTCAGATACTGGCGGCTCCTCCCGTGTGTGTGCTGGTGACCTCCTCAATCCACCCTCAGTAAAACGATGGAACTCTACTGGTCCCAACCCATACTCAGGGTATGCCCCTCGCTCCTCAATCTCTGGCTCCCGCTCCGGCTCCTCTTCTCTCCTGGCTAGGGCCTTCCGTCCTCCCCGAGACGGTCTCACCTCCCTGGGCTCAGGGTCCCCCGACCTCTGACTCCTCTGACGTCTCTCGACTCTGGGCTGGGGTGGCTCTAGCCGTCGAAAGGCCTCTCTTAGATGTGCCCTGCAGCTCTCCCAGTCCCGGGTCATGTCTCTGACTTCGCTAGCCAGCGGCCTTTCCGCCTTCCTGGTCCAGAGCGGTAGCGTCTGCATCCATTCATCTCTCGGTATGCCCTGCCCCTGCATGAACCACTCAAACACGGGGATGAAGTCCGACGCATTTCCAATCTCCAGGCGGATCGGCCTGCCATCAGGCCCCACAGACGATGGTCGCAACTCCTGCATCCTCCACTCCACCTCTGATCTCGTCGTCGCCTCTCTACGGATCCGCGCGATAGGCTCCTCGAATCTGCCTGCCCCCCTCAATCCCTCAATCGCTTGAGCCACGGTCCAGCCCATACGCCTCGCATGATCCCAAAAGTTGTCCAGGAATAGCTCGATGTCCCTATCATTGTATACCGGAGTACTCTCTCGATAGCGAGGCCCATGTCGCTCGTATCCTCCTGATGCTCCCAACGGCCTCCGAGGCGGCCGTGTCCCCCTCCCTCCTCTTGGCATGAATGTCTTCGTAAAGTCAGACCTGCACAACAGGCGAAGGAGACAACATGCACACATTGGGGTAAGCAAAACAGGTGATAATCAAGCAAACTTAGACCAGACCACACTCACACAGCATACATCCTACCTAGCCTACACACCCTGCTACTTCTATTCTGAAGGCAGTTAGGTGGTCTCTCTTACCTCTTCTCTCGCCACAGATTTCTTCAGTCGCGTTCCAGATACCCAATCCTTCCACTCAGTCTCATTTAGCTCCTCAATCTGATACGCTCCGAAGTCTCCGACCCGAACGATCCGGTAGGGACCTAACCACCTCTTATCGAGCTTCCTGGACCATTGCTTCTCCAGTGATGAATCGTAGAGAAGCACGACATCTCCAACTGCCAAGGGTACTTTCCTCACCCGCGCAGATTGATCCCATCGAGCCTTATCGTCCATACGACTTCTCACCACCTGGTCAGACGCCTCCTGATCCTTTCTTCTATCGCTCCTATCTGCCGCGCCCGAATATCGAGCAATTCTTCAAGTGACAGGTTAACTTCCAGATCCTGGCGCCTCCACGTCTTAAGAAAGCTCTCGATAGGGAAGGTGGCGTGCCTTCTATACCACAGTGTCGCCGGTGCGTACTTGGTGGATCTTTTTATTGTAATGTTCTCGACAAAGAACGCCGCCCTTAGGTATCTTGGCCATTGATTAGGCCTACCTTCGGTCCACTTAGCCAGGAGACTCGTAATGGTACTATGTCCTCTCTCTACGGGAGCATTTGCTTGGGGGTGCGCGGCCGTGGTGTAGTTGGCTGCTACACCATACCTTGATAACAATTCTTGCACCTCCTGGCAGGTAAACTTCGATCCCCTGTCCATTACGAATTCCCTAACGAAAGGGTAACGCAGGTAATATTCCTTGATGCAGCTCACTAAGACTAACCCGGTCTTGGTGCGAATAGCACGCCCGTCTACGAACCTAGACAGGTTATCGCGCGCATCGAAGATATAGTTATAACCCTGATCCCCAAGTGGCATAAAAAGCAGATCGAGATGCATTACGGCCCCCACCTCTCGCTCTAACCTTGGATGCAGTGACTCTCCTTGCCTTAAACGGGATCTCTCCTGGCAGGGCACGCAGGACCAACATAATTTTTCGACCATGTCCATCATTCCATCCCAGTAGTACAGCTCACTTATCTTGGCATACGTGGCTTGTACCCCTCGATGCCCTCCTGCAATCGTGAAGCGCTGCTACGACGTCGATCTGACGATTCCTGCCGCAGACGACCCTCCTGGGAATCCCCACTTCTCTTCTCACGAAAAGGTGGTCGTCTCGCACAAAGTAGCGCTGCAGCATCCTCTGAGCCCTATCGCTTGCATCCCTTAGCCGTATTTCACATGACAGAAGAAGCCCCTGTTCTAGGTAGATCTCATCGTACTCTTCTGCACGAAAAGCCTCCTTAATCTCCCCCTCCTCGAACTCGTCGTCCTGGCTCTCGGGCACTTCGTCCACATTTCCTGTCGGGTTCAACGAGCCTGACTGGTTGAGGCCTTCCTGCAATAACGTGTTGACGAGGAGATACATTACTCCCATCAGGTCCTCATGCCGTTCTACCTGGCCAGGTCCTTCCTCAATCGTTCTCATGTCCTCCACCAGCCTATGCGAGCTGGCCAGCGCTAGCTCCATCATCCACTGAACATCCTTACCGCCCCATGGATCTTCTTCCTCAAAGGGCTTAAGGACTAACTCATTCCTCCTTTCATACCCCTTTGGCGCTTGCCAGATAGGATAGCCTACACAGCTGGGCACTCGCGGCGACCACTTGTTGATATGAAGACGAACATCTTCTTCTTGATCCAGAAATCCATCAACTGGGGGCGTATTCTCCACCGCCTCTCCTTCCTGTTTATCCCAGTTGATCCGACTCAGCCCGTCCGCCCGGTTCTTACTACCAGGAATCCGTTCCAATTCGAAATTGAACATCCAGATGTACGTCAGCCATCTGGCAACTGTCGGATCCGATGGAACGTAATTCCTTAGAGAGTAGGCCAGGGCGGTCGGATCCACTCTCAAAATAAACCTCCTGCCGAAGATATAGTTCCGGAAGATTCGCAGACAGTGGAGGACAGCAAGGGTCTCCCTCTTGAACTGAGAGTAGTTCCTCTCCGTCGTACAGAGAGTCCGACTCTCAAATCGCAAGGGCCTTTCCTTTCCTTCCATGTCTGCCTGAATTAGAACTCCCCCTAAGGCAGTCGGTCCTGCATCCGTTTCGACAATGAAGGGTCGCGTCTTTGTGGCGTCATAATCTAGCGCTCCTAACACCAACCCTCCTTCTCGAAATTCCTCCTTCATTTTTGCCACCACCTCTTCTTGTTCCTCACCCCATACCCATTCCTGACCCTGACGGACTAACTTCCTCAGGTGTTCAGTCTTAGCGGCAAAGTTCTTGACGAAGGCCCTCCAAAATCCACACGTACCAAGGAAGCTCCTGACATCAGTTATTGAGTAGAACGGAACTGGCCACTCAGTAATCTTGTCCGTATTCTTCACATCCGGCCTTCGGCCCTTCTCATTGCAGACGATCCCCAAGATAGTCGCTTCCCTCATGCAGTGTCTGGATTTGGCCCCGCTTGCCGTGAGGTTATGCTCTTCGAGCAGGCTCAGGACCTTTTCGAGGTCCTGGATGTGTTTCCAGACAAAGCGCCTTACCCCTGGTGAGACTTCGTCGATCTCTTTCATCGCCGGCCCCTTCACTGCCAAATCGTCAATATATGGTTGTGTGATATGGGGGCTGACTGACTGCATGGCCCGAATCATGGCCCGTTGGACCATTGCTACTGCGTTGGTCCACCCTTGTGGGGCCACGTTCATGTGGATTAATCCTCGCGGCGTGTGCATAGCCGTCACCGGCCTATCCGGCGGGTAGACTGGGAACTGATCGTATCCTGAGTAAAGGTCTATAAGCGAAATTATAGGCCTTCCAGCACAGGATTCCGACAGCGCGTCTGCATTTGGCAGTCCTCCTGCATCTCGCACGGTCACTGCATTCAGTCTTTGCAAATCCTGCACCCACCGCAGCGTCCCGTTAGGCTTAATAAAGCAGAACCACGGGGACGCATACGGTCCACTTGAATAGTCGGCGACGTGGGTACGTATCTTAACGTCGAGGTAATCCACCACCTTCCTTTCCTCGTCAGGATTGGGATATCACGCCCCTCTCATGTTCCAAGGCTCGTGTGGCACGATGTGGATGCGGATCATAGGTATCTTGTCCACATTCAGCCTGTCACGCTCCTCGTCACTAAACGCATAGGCGCGATGCTTCTTCTTCATTAATTCCACCATCAACGTTCGCTCCTGAGGCAGCAGGAAATCAGACTCCCCTATGATTAACTCCTTCTCGTTCCCCTCGTTGATACGACATGGCCTTGCTAAAGCACTTTCCCTCATTCGTCGTATCAACCCTCGTTCCCTCTCGTAATATGCTTCCTCGTCCTCTGTAACGAGGACGGGTACCGGGCGGCACTTCTTGTCTACCGTCTTGTACCGCCTTTGGGAACCCTGCTTGAGCCGTCCCCTAAAAAAGGCCGACTCACGGATTGTGTTTGCGCTGATGCGGGGTTCCCTCCGCTGCCTGGGAGCGGATATACCAATTTCAACCTTCCTGCCTCAGGGCATTCCAGAACTTGATCCCTCAAGGCCTAGATGGCATCCGGATCTGCCATCTCATGCGCGGCCACCAGGTCCATAGCCTTCCCAACATCTGACAGGCTGAGGGAAAATGCTTCCTCCCTCTCTCCTGCTTCGGGCTTTGCCCAGAGCCTCCTGCGCTCCCCTTCCGACTTCTCGATTGTGAATGATCCTGGGTTGGGCCGGTTCCTTATACTCCTTGACCCAGTGTTCCTGCAAGTAATTATTTCATAATTCTCGCAGGCAGGATCGCATAAGAGGAGGATCAACGTCCCATCATGTTTGTTGAACATCATGGTCTCTGTCCTGCTTAGGAATGACCTCCCCAGGAGGATTCCATGGTCCACATCCGGCATTATGAAGAAGCATGCCCTGACCTTCACCTTTCCAACCTCGACGAGCACATTCGCGGTTGTCCCGCAAAACACGGCCTTACAGCTGGCTCCATGCAGAATACCGCAGTCAGAACGGTCTATATCCAGCCCGAATTTGATCGCGTCCGCCTCCCGAATAATGTTCATCTCTGCCCCGGTGTCCACCATTGCTGCGCACTTGGAACCCCTCACCATCAAATCCACCGTACCGCAGGCTACGCACTTCCAGTCCATCTTCGTACCTGACTCTGCCCACTCTGCCTCCTTGGGCAGGATCGCACCCAGATGGACATTGGGCACCAGGCGCCGTGATAACCTCCCCTTCAGTTCATCGCGGAGTCGCGGGGCTGACGCTAGGATTTCCTTCAGGGTCATGAGGTCATTATGCCCTTCCAGCAGCCGGTCAATCACCTTCTCTACGTCAAATCCCTCTTCCAACCGGACCGCGTATTTCTTCTTTTTGGGCGGTTCGTCATGTATGACCGGTTCGGCCTCTCCCCTGGTTCCCTTTTTCCTTGCCCGCTGCTCCGCTCTCTGATCCTCTTCTCTGCGCAGCCTCTCGTCCTCTTCCTCTTCATCACCGTCGTTCTCTACTTCCACAACCTCTTTCCTTTTCCCTGGTTCGGGTTCCCTCCTTGGAGACTCTTGGCTGGCACTGGCCTTGGCTTGATTCCTCGTTCGCGCTGCCTGTGCCAGCCGGGCCTGCGGAGTGAGGGGTTTCCCCCTCATTCCCGATTGTGGGCACGACCCCACCACATTTACTCCGGGTCGCCCAGGCGCCTTCTCCGGGCCGAAATCATAGAGGAATACTGTGGGGATGTTAGACCTCCATCCCTTCACTTCCTCACAGAGGCCCACCAACTTTTGTTGGTACCTCCCCATCTTATCCAACAAGTCCTCCATTTTCTCAAATAAGACGGACAGAGGTTCCGTTCTTTCCTCCTCATCCTCGTCATCTGACTCGATGATTATGGCCTCTTCCGTCTCACTTCCTCCTCGTAGCCCTTCAGTCACTTCCTCATCGCTTCCTACTTCTTCCACCCCAATCGGTGGTTCCTCCTTTTCCTGCCATAGCCTGAACATGGCAGGGGGTGGCGGCCCAGCTCCCGCTCTTCGTTGGGCTTCAGCCCTCACTCCTCCAAGCCTTCTGTCAATGGCCTCCCCAAACTGATCGTAGATATTCTCATCCATAGTGGAGGAGATCAGTCCGCTTCTCTCGTCTTCCCTTCTTATATTACAGAACCTTATAGTGTGGCCTTGCTGGTCACAATGTTGACAGATGGTCGTCCTCCAGTCAAAACGGGGTCTTCCATACCCCTGACTTCCCTGATCCCCCTGACCTTGATACCCCTGGCCATGATACCCCTGGCCTTGGTACCCCTGGCCTTGACTCCCTTGGCCTTGGTACCCCTGGCCTTGACTCCTTTGGCCTTGGTACCCCTGGCCTTGGCCATTCCATTGCCTTCCTCTTCCGCCGCCATTCCTGCCTCGCCCCCTTCCTCCACCCCTCCCTCTGTTGCCTTGATTGCCCTGCCCCTGGTTCCCACCTCCTACAACACTGCCCTGTGAACTGGGATCATGTGACTGTGGCGGGGCCACAGGTTGGGCCTAGGCCGCGGGGTAGATGGGTGGTGGCATACTCGTTTGCGGTCCGGCTACTGGCGGCGGGCTTCCCCATGGCACAATTGCATTGATCACCGGCCAGGGCCACTGTCCGTAGGAGGGCGCCGCACCTTGCGAGGGGCCCGTACTAGATGATGGAACCGCCACAAATAAAGGGGCTGCTGCCTGGGCCTGAGGCGCCTGCGCTTTTCCTGATCCATGTCCGCCCTGCGCCAAATTACGCACTTTGCGCTGGACCTTCCTCAGGTGTTGCGACACCGGCTCTTCCTCTTCCCAGAGCTCCTCCTGAACAGCCTCCTCTATCACTGGCTCTTTTCCTTTTACTTTGGCAGCCGTCACCACCGGCTCAGTCACATACCCTAGCTGTGCCAATACGTCTGTAACAATCCTTGTTACCCCCGGAGTCCCAGAAGCAGTCGCATCTCTTTCCTTTCTCTTATGCCTTTGCAGGCGTACCTGACGTTGTTCCACCTGGTCCAAGCACCCAACTTCCACCCCCCTGTCAATGGTGGCCCAGGTGAGCTTAGTGCTACCTCCTCTATGTCTCGTCAACTCGACGGCCTCCGACGCTGTGAGTAGCCCCAGGAAGATGGCGCACTGTGCTTCCTCCGAAATCCCATGGACCTTTCGCGCCCTCTTCTTAAATTCTTGAACAAAGGCCCCTATAGTCGTAAAATCCTCTTTGTTCATCGCTTCAGGGTCCGCGGTAGTCAACAACCCGTCTCCCAGGCGGTATTTCCTCTGCATCCCCTCCTTGAACCTCTCCCAGCTGCCTTGAGCCGCATCTATGACTTTCTTCACCTCCTGATGGTAGTTGTGGAGGACATACTGAAGGATGCGTTGAAACTTTACAACATCCGACCACCCGACCAAAGCTTGTTCCACCCGCTCTAGCCATTCTGAGACTCTCTCCCCACAGAAATGGAAAGTATCGACCTTTGGGATGTTGCTCGGGTTCCTTTCATGTCGGTCGATGGCTGCGATAAGGTCATCGAGTGTCAGACCCTTCTTGGGAGCAACTGATGCGCCGCCAGTCTCAGGCATCTTGACAGCCTCTTCTTTTTAAGTTCCCTGGCAAAAGAAAACAAACACATCCCCTTATTCAACATTATACCATGACCGGCCTATTCCATCCGTCCTACCTAACCTTTAGTACATACTTTACCCAAATGTTGACACGATCGTCCCTCATTCTTCCTCTACTTGGGTAGGTAAATTTCTTCACCTACACATAGTCATTCATATATTCCTTCATTACCTTCTCATCACTCCTTTATGCCTTTTCTTATTCACTTCTCATACCCGGATGTCGTTCCACCAGGGACAACGGTAGGTTTTCCGTTATCCCCGGCAACGGCACCACCTGTCGAGCGCATCGGTCCGGCACCGCATGGGGGCAGCGCGGGACCCTCCCGGCCGCGTCACGCAGGAGTTGGTTTTAAAMCCCTTCGTCGCAATATACATGGAGCTTCCACAAGCCGCTCCRGCCGAGTGCGCCAGCCATATCTCTCGCGAGCCCCTACGACAGGATAGGGCCTACGCGAGGCACGACTTACCTAGACCTTACGGGAGTTGTCACATCCCTTCGGTGGGCGTATCTCCGCCGAGCTACCAGCCCACAGTACGAAAGCTAGTCAGTTGCAATCGCAGAGGTGGACCAGCCGAGGGCGTTTCTCTTTCGCTGTAGCATAGGGGATACGCGCTGTAATACGCCTCTTTCCAACCCGCACGCGAATCGGCATCTTGGGGGGGCTGAGGTCCCAATCGCGACCCGTCGTCGGTCGACTAGGACGAATCCCACACACCACGCGCACTCCACTTTATGAATATACATGCACACAAAACAACACATATACGAGACGACACAACATAAACAACGCGACAACGCTCCTAGCCCCTCGGTAGCCAACCCATAACTTTCCAACGCGGAAATCGAATAGCCGTCGCGCGCGAGACTAGGTATAAAACCGCGCGGACGCAGGGCTATCGCATATCGACTCGCAATGCAATTGTACGCAGGCAGTCGCAATGAAGGCGTACTATGTAGTGCCCATAATCAAGCGGCCCCTCGTGAAATCGAGTACCGCTTATGACACTCGAGTGTGTGACTTGAAGTGTCGTGAGGGCCTAACCCTTCATGACATTGCACGGCTGAAGGAATAGYCGTGCAGCCGCCGCGACACCTCCGGYTCTTGGCCTGAGTGTCTCGGTAGGCAAATCAAATAGGCTCTGCGCGAGGGAAAACCCCTCCTCTGCAGAGCCTAGGGCTTGGGGTGTCCTGGACAAGGACCTCGAATCCCAGYCCAGGACCAAACGTCCGACTAAGAAAATCATCAAAAAGCAGGAACAAAAGATAGAAGTACGGGCCTCCCCTAAGTTCCTYAGTCCCAACTTCTGAGTGGGGCTTTAATATGGGGATTCTTCAACCCATGCAAACGTTCATCCCAAGTATACCCATGTATACGTATATAAGGGTTAAGTATGTGACGATCACTTTTCACGGTCTCACTGGGGTTTCTCACAATAATACRTATATGTGTGATCGCAGGCAACCAAATCCAGAATCTGACTCACAGCACATACCTGCAGTCACATCAACGAACCAAATCAACAACCCACATATTACACGGAGTCAATCCCAACCACCTTCGACACTCATACCCCTCGCTTTAGTCATACAAGCCCCAAAACCTCCTGTCCAACCAACCTTAATTAAATACTCAGTACCTTTGTTAAATGACCATTCAATAAAAGTCCGGGTGAAAACCTTAATAAAACAACGAAGATCACCAGGGCTAAAGCCTTTTAGGTTGAGTGTGGAGGGAGAGTTGAAATTGAGTCGTAGACCGACGAATCGGCAACCGATCTGTTATCCGTGATAACAGTAAGTGATCCTCAAGGGATCAAGCTGGATCTAGCCCTGAACTTGGATCAAATGATGAAAAGGACCTGAAACACACGACAGATCAATCCCCAAGCTAAGATCATAAGTGTATGGAGAATATAACTACATAATACATCCTCACTCAAAATCTCCCTATAAGCTTAACTTAAGTCTACTTTTAAACCAAATGCTTAAGGTAAAGGTAGACCAACTACGGAATCTCCCCTATTTTGCCTGAATCGCCACCTGTCAAAAATATAGTCTATCTCCTTTAAACTAAGAAAATTTTCGGCAGCGCTTCCCGTAGGAAAAGTGTCTTTCCAAAATTTATATAAGCTCAAATATGAACGCCGAAATAATTTCTAAGTCTGGAAAGTCAAAATTTTGTCTAACTCTCCGAATTAGTAGAAATTTGGGCAGCACTCCCTTTAGAAAAGGAGACTTCCCAGATTTATACTAAGTCAGATATAAAAACAGAAATAATATGTAACTCTGGAGAATCAAATTCTGTCTAACTCTCTGAATTAGTAGAAATTTGGGCAGCACTCCCTTTAGAAAAGGAGACTTCCCAGATTTATACTAAGTCGGATATGAACTCAAATAACAGCTCGAGCTTAACGTTAGACTGAATTTAACTAACTCCTTTAATTTTGTAGGAAAATTCGGCAGCACCCCCTCTAAAAAAGTGCTATTCCAAAATTTATACAAGAAAGTTCAGATTTTGAAAGTAACTTTGACTTTCCAAAGTTCAATTTTGTCTAACTCTCTGAATTAGCAAAATTTTAGGCAGCACTTCCTTTAGAAAGGGAGACTTCCCAGATTTTAACTAAGCCAGATATATGGAAAAGACAAGTTGAACTCTGACAAGTCAAGTTGACTAACTTCTTGGATTTGTAGAAATTTCGGCAGTGCTTCCCATCGGAAAAGTAGCTTGCCAAGATTTATACAAAGCTAAGTATAAGAAAAAAATATCAGAAAATGCAGGAATTGACCTAAGTAAAAAAACGTTATTACAGAAAATACAGGAATTAACACTAATTCATATGGCTCTAGCACGTGGCGAGCAACTAAAGCAACTACCTATAAAGTTGAAACACAAACAAACTAGTCATCCCATCCAGTCACATGCAAACCAAACCACGAATGTAAGCACTCTCACCATCCCAAGTTCATTCCATATAAATAGTTCGTGAATCTTCAAGTTCTTGAATCCTTATGCCCATCTTACATAGGACATAGAGCCGGACCATTCGCCATGGAAATAATGCCCAACTTGTCTTTATGATATACACGAGAAGGTTGCACAACTACTTCTTTCTTCTTTTGGGCAGATGACTAGGCTATTCGCCATGGAAACAATGCCTAGTCGCCCTAAGCTGTTTAATATCCAAAGTTTTAGTATTTCTCTGACTTTGTTAAAAAGAAAAGACAAATATGGGTAGGGGACTGAACCATTCACAGTAGAAACAATTTTCAACTTGCCCCAAACTATTTCCATTTATACTCTGTATTTTCCCTTCTCTCTTCTTAATGATATGGCTTAACGCTGGACCATTCATAGTAGAAACACTGTCCAGCTCCCAGTTCACATGCAAAAATACATAAAATACTCTCCTTTATACTTCGCTTAAATTATGTGCGTGGTTTTCAGGCTAAACCATTCACCATAGAAACGGTGCTTAGCCTTAGACCAAAAATCCTCCCTCAGAATAAACAAGAATTTAAACCCCATTCAATCAGACAAACCCTCAGAGTTAACTAAGGTAGCCAGGCCATTCACAGTAAAAACAATGCCTGGTTCCCCAGAAAATAATCAAATAAACACAGCGACCAGRCCATTCACAGTAGAAASAAATGYCTGGTCCTTMAAAAAAACAGCCAAATAAACATAGCCCTGAGYCATTCACAGTAGAAACAATGCTCAGGCTTTGGTTGACCCKGTCAAACGCATGCAGTTTACCTTCCTCCCACCTTCCCCCAGTTCATCCTTAGTCTGCTTTCAATCARAACAAAGTAGAAACTTAGGCTTCACTCTCACACATTCTTTCCAGTTAGTCTGATTAGGTCYTGAAGAGAAASMAAAAACCATAGGGACAATCGCATGYATAYAATAGTYATACTGCAGGGGGATAGGCAAACATGGGTAGTAGTGGGTTATACAGATAAGGATGATTTACCTGAAGGTTCCCTGCCTYCAGAACTCCTCCTGAGTTCCAGCAGAGCTYCCGYAATCGGTGGGTGGACTCCCCACARAGTCTTGACGCGGACCTACGGGTTGCAATCCCACCTGCCGCCTTCCTCTCGTAACCACAGGACTAGACTTAGAGTCAGAAGGATAGAAAGAGGAAGGTGTGAGACTCTCRGATCCAAKRAGAGGTGCCCTCAGRCTCACGGGAGAGGGCCTTGTAATCTTCRCGCRCCTGAGGGCCCCGCAAKGGCGGCCAAAGTGCCCAGTAGCTTGGTTATCCGAGRTCAGTCGTTTGCCGTCRAAWCCTCGATGACCYCTTSAACTCGCAACCTCACCACACTCACCGRCCAAATCACGTCCTCAAGTCATACTTCGTCGTACTTGGCTAAGACCCCACACCTCAGCCTAGAGCGACCACTTCTAGATAGAGAGCGCCTCCTTCCCCGCGCCCTTGTTCAAACTCAGTGCTCCCAAGCAATTAGCATACACACCAGCAGCGCTGATTGGCCAGCTCCGTAGCAATGCTCAATGCGAACGCAGTAAGACTCTAGCTCCTCGCAACCGCCTTRTACGCGCAGCATACCGTACTACATGGGGTGCTCCRCAAGACTCATCCTCAAGCTCAACGGCTCAGCAAGGTGCTCAKCAGGTGCACTGCCCATATGCAGCACGACACAGCATACGCTATAGTAGCCAAACCCGTCAGTASCTACCTTGCCTAACACCCTTCAATTTTTGGCCCACCGAGCCCGTGGGACACAACGCAAAATCTGTGCAGTGGAGTACATGACAGTACGAACCAGGCAACARCGCTGTAGAARTCGACAGGACGAGCGGGTCAGTGGGTTGTCAACTGCAACGTGGAGCTCAAGGCACCAMCAACAAGGCAACCAACCTACAGAATACATGCGGAAGGTCCGATCAGAGGACGGACARCCTGGTAGCGAGGTAGCAAGGCGCACGGTGACACCCGTAGTACKACCGCGCCGCACAACGAACAYGTTAATCTRCAACGATCCTTATGCAGAGCGAGGGAGACACTTCTTAGCGGGAGGTGAAGCGACACACCAGATARCAKGTAAGTCCTCCACGCGCGGCCACCCTCYCGCTGCCTCCAACTACGAGCAAAGTCGGGTGAATCTTCAGCTGGATCCCAGGCGGATACATGCTGTCTCCCAASTTTACTCGGCGGCTGGCCTCCCGCTGCTACTATGGGCGGAATCAGATGAATCTCCCACTAGAACATGGGGAGATACATAACCAGTTCGAAACCGCCCTTTTTCACGCAGGACCTTACTAACATAACTCAGACTCTGACCACTAATCTCAAATCTAACACCGCCCCCGAACTCGCCCGACTTCGGACCTCTATTCCGCAACTTTCCTCCCTCGATTTCGTCAAGTCCCGGACGCGACATTCGTTTTCCTTGTCTGGCCATATCCAGCCCCGACACTCTCCGCGCACCATCTCCCCCTACCAACCTTCGTTATACTCGCCTACCACCAGTTCTGAGCCCGGATTTGGGGTCGCCACCCCTCAAAACCCCTGTTGCTGACTTTGTTTCATTCGATTCTTTCAAGAATCGATCGAAATATCCCCCTCTCTTTCTCCTCCCATAGCCATTTCGGCGCAGCTCCTACTTCTTCCAACTCCCTTTCTACTAACATTTTCCCCAAACTGACTTCACGATCTAATTCGCAGCACAAAAAAAAYACAGTTTACAACTTTATWTCGCTCGATTTCGTTAAGAATTKAGCGAAATATTGCTTCTTCCTACCTCTACCRTAGCCCCTTCCGCCATAACACCGCGYGACCTTTTTCYTACTRACCTTCTTCTACACTAACTTTCACCTAAAACTAACRCTGGACTCGAAGTCGCCATRKTTTAAAACCCCTAAGAAGACTCCCTTCCCGCCCAGTTTCATCAGGAAACGGTCGGCGTTACTAGCTCCTCTTTGCCATTTTCAGCCYCCCTTCTTGTCTGCATGTACCTGGCGCGTTCCCACGCCCAGGTTCATCCGCACCTTCTGCCCATCCCCTTGCGACCTTCGTTCCCCCGCGATCACTCCGCCTACCACCAGTCTGCCTATTGCCCCGSTTCCTGCACGCACCTGGCGCACAACACCGCCCGGGTTCAGCCCACTCTTCTTCTTGGCTGCCCGCTCGCTCCCTCCGCCTTTGCTGTTGCACCGCGCCACACTGCCTCGTGTGCACTCCGCTGCCACTATACTGTGGCTCCGTGCTCCTTAGCGCTGCGCTGTCCGGTCAGTCCCTCCACCCGTTGCGACCGATCGGCCCAATCTCCGGCCATCCCTGAGGGAAACTTCGGAGGCATTCAACTACTAGACGGTTCGATTAGTCTTTCGCACCTATACCCAAGTCCGATCGACACGTCGTGCGCGCAGCAGCGCTGTGGGCTTCACCGGAGTCCCGCCGCTACGTAGCGCCTCCCCCCCCCATTGCGCTATCTACTCCCTTGCTCGCATGCACCCGGCGCCCGCCCGCGTTTAGGTACATCCGCCACTGTGCCTCTTGCTTTTTCCTCCCTGTCTCCTCCGGTCCCCGTCACCGCCCCAACACTTACTACCCGCCCGCACTGTTGCCCCGCCCGATGCTGTCGGGCCAACCCCATTACAGTCTGTCCCTGCGTGCTCACTCTGCGGAATGCTCCAACCCCTCAGGCCTCCAACAGTCGGGTTCCCCCATAGGTACGTGGGTTGCGGTGTTGGCTGAACGCCCCTGCCGCAGGCCCGTAGCATGGCCCCTGGTGTAGCATGGCCCCTGGTGCAGCCGGCCCCGGCACAGATTTTAGAGGTAATAGCAAATATTCAAGTGAGAACTCTGAGACCCGAACCGGAGGGAAACCCCGTGGGCATACTCACACCCAAACCTCCTACAATGGATCGTGGTAGGCGGGCGGGGCATATTCACAACCGGAGAGGGTCCCCGCCACTCAGGTTCCTCCCGTCTCGTGGGCTAATCATCTACCGGCTCGAATGTACGTTAATTCCCCCGGCCCATATTCTTAGGACATACAAGATAAAAGAACTTTGCCAACACCTTGAMCACGCKGGGACCCGTAAGTCAACGAACRGAGGCRYRCGCTCAAATTAAAAGGTACCAACGRAAAAAAATTGATCTTMAAAACTTCTAGTCGCCAAAGACAAAATAAAGGATACCCCYTGCACCACTCTRACGCCSCCAAATGGCAAAACCAAACGGGGTAGCCCTACGGTTCTCAACCCCATCGGCTTCCTCCTCGATGCTCCGCTGCCGCTGCGTCGACGCTCGCCGRCCTCGATCYCTGAACCTTCGTACTGTCAATCCAATGTCGTAACCTATAGGGCTAAGCCCARGCCTGGGACCGAGTCCCRCAGAATACCATATAGGCAGTGCGGCGYGACGCTTTGGGCCAACAAAACGGYTGCSCGGCACCCATTTGCCYGCGCCGGCTTGCTTATACCGTGCCATAATTKCCCCGCGCGCCAKCCTACGACACCCCGCTTACCGCACAAAGCCGCGCCRTCGTTGCCAATGCCGTTGTCGGGGCCGTTTCTCCGCACGCGCGTTTGACTTGGTCAAAAGTACCAATCAAAAGAAAATATCCTTAATTCCTGCTTAATCAAAAATAAATAAATAATAAATAATATCACCAAGCAAAACGACCAAGGTCCGGGCCGGCTCTACGATCAACAACAGAAAGGAATCACACACGCCTTAAACCTGCGCGCCCACGCACTCGCTATTGTGGTCAACCACCCAATCAACGCAATTACAGATGCAGCCGCGCTTCACGCGGTATACTTAAATTCTAGACCAAAACCGTTTTTTGTTACTTGCAAAAACCAGGGCGGATACCCTTGTAAGGGTATTCGCACCGACAGCTTACCGGACCATATTAAGCGACGTCTCCGTCGCTTCGCCAAATCAGAAAGCTATAACCCCCCCCACACTCCAAATGCTGGCGGAAAACGAGCCAATCCGATTAGCCGACAAACACAGGGTAGAGGCCTCCATCAAACCGTGCCTCCACAACTATATGCTGCCAGGTTTCTAACCTGGGCCTCTCACCGCCCAGAAATTAGAACACTGACCGCATAAGCTCCAAAGACCTTGTCAATCGTCCTCCCCCCGGTCCTAGACAACCTTCGGCTTCTCGTTGGGTGTCCCTAGTCCTGGCAAAAACTAGGGACGAGGGCCTTAATCGAGACCTTTTGAAGGCACTCTCGCCTTCCTTCTCAAAATCTCTCGCAATCAAAAACACATATATACTTAATATTCGCTCAGCTCTTTCTGCAGTCTAATACAGAAAGGCTAGGTCTCCATCTTGGTCCACCATAGCCTGGTTGATCGGACCAGGACTACGGCCCACCGCATTGTTATTTAGCGGCAGTACCCCTCGTTGGTTACGCAACGATAGGTTTCTTCCTGATAAGCATTCAATCAGGATTCTCCCCCCAAAAAAAAAATTATCAACCATCACTATCCCGCGGAGTAATTTCACTGGGGCGGGCACCCCCCCTTAAACTCTTACCCACGCGGTCCCGCAGCCAGGTTGCGCCGGCTAACAACCATCCAATGGGGTTACGCCCTAGAGGTACTAACTTCTTTTCCGTTAGCTTGGCCTTTCTTCAATATGTCTCAGAATTAGCACAGGTGGTTAGGCGGGGCGTCGCAAAACAAAATCACAGGCCCACTGCGCGATACGCAGGGGTCCGAAGGCATCTACCAGCCCTTCCACAATAGGCATGACATCCTTTGCACGCTCACAAACAAAATCACCGCTAAGTCCACCAGGCCGTGACCCCTGACTTGATCAGAGTCAGTAGCCAGCCGTCCTGAGACGTCTCTCGCCCTGCACTCATTGTGACTTTCTCAAACATTTCAAACAAAGGTGGCTCTTTCCGTCAGACTTTATCACCCATCAAACAACTCGTCATGCCATAAATCAATTTACTCACTTCTGAGGGGGAGTCTTCCAACCATAAACCATTTCCCTTTTCCAAAAAAATCCAAGGGGCTCTCATCATAAACAAAAAAAACCCTCTTCCAAAAATCACGAGGGGTCTCGCCATAAAACCAAACTTCCCCTTCTCAAAACTCGAGGGGGTCTCATCATAACACACAACATCATAAAACATCCCCTTCCCCAGAAATCCAAAGGGCTCTCATCATAAAACAAAACATCACTTAGAGACCATCTTATGGGTCCTCATCACAACTTAAACAATCAATAATCAACATGGTAAGCTTTTTGAGCCTCCAGGGTTCATAAAACTTTTTAAAATCCTCATAACTTTTCACAAACAGGCTGCACTCCCTCCCCTTATACTCTGTCCTATCAGCTGCCCGTGGGCAGGTCACACAAGTATACCGAGGAGTAGACAGTTTTTCTTACAATCATATTCATTGTACCTATGGCAAGATGTTTTTCACACATTGTCCACACAAACTCATCATACATCAGAGTACAACCACATATGTGAGAGTGACAAGTGATCGTCATATATATGAATGGTCCCTGAAATAAAACCTCATCATAATATACACTCAGGGCATAAAAAAGCCTCACACAAAAATTGTCTCCAAATCATAGCTTACTCAACTCAAGCCACACCAAACCCATATTGACAACAACCCCTAGGATACATGTCAGATCTGTCTCTCAAAACCTGTGCGTAGGCCACCTAAATGTGTACATGCCTCATCTAAATCACCCTGATCCTCAAGACCCAGCTCAATAGGAACACTAGAGTTCAGATCTAGACTAGTAGCAATCATCAAGAAGGTCCTCTAAGTCTAAGAGGGTATCACACAGACCCTAAGCTGATGCCTCACAAGATACTCGCCCACTTACATAGACAAACCGACACTATCTCCTCAACTCCTTTTGGTTTTGCCTATATAACTGAGCCCTAAGTCCATCTGCGGACTTCTCTACTATCCTACCCTGTCTATCATACATCTTACCTCCTACCTCTGAGACCTTCCCTGCTGCCTTATCCTCAAGAAACTCGAGACAGTCCAGAGCATGATGCACGCCCCTCTTGCAGTAGAAACATAGTTGATCTACCTTCCTCTTGAACTTCTTCTTCCTGGGCTGAGGAGGTGGCGATGAAGGAGATCCTACCAAGGTACTGACAACCTCATGTTGCTCTGATCGAGGGGCTGCGGTACTAACGACCTCCTGCTGCTCTGTCCCAGGAACCGGTTCCCCAGACCCAGATCCAGTAGCCCAAGATCCCAGTCTGCTCTTTAAATCCCCTGTCATTGGGACGTACTCAGGCGTGTCCAACCTCTGAGGTCTCCTCTCGAGTATCTCTCCTAGCACTGTCGTGGGCTGCTCCTCAATCTCCTCTGGTTCATACTCAGGTGTGCCCATCCTCTGGAGCCTGCTTTTGATGACACCCTCCGCCTTAATCCCCATCTCCTCTATCCTCTGCTCGGGTGAAAACAAACTCGCCTCTTTCTGCATGGTATGCACTGCCTCAAGGAGTACGCTCATGGATCCCTCTGCTGACCCCTGAGCCAGCTCACTGCTAGATGGCGGTAGCCCCTCCTCAATCGCCAAAGGTACGACTGGGCCTGCCGCTACCACTGGCAGCGTCGCGAGCTCAGTAGGGGCTCTAAACTCGAACGCCTCTCTCTCTGCCTGTCTCTGGGCTCTCGCCTCCTCTGGCTCCAAGATAACTCTCCCCATAGGTGGCTCTTGGCGAGGCCTTGCCGCAGATGGTTGTCCTGGCAAAACTTGTCCCGGCTGCCTCTGCTCTCCCTATTTGTTGCTTTCTTATTTATCCACTTTTTCTTGGGTTTGCTGCCTCAGGCTCTCAGTGATAGCTGCCTGACTGGCCACCAATGCCCTGAGTTCCTGGATTTCCATCTCCATAGCCTCCAGGCGTACTCCATGGCTTGCTTCCTTTAATTTTTTTTCCTGCCAAATCGCTCTCCAGTAACAGGTGTCGGTCAAAGGTCGTTTTGGCCAGGAACTTGATTTTGCGATCTATCCTCTCTTCCGCCTTCCTGGCCACCCCAAGCCTGGCTCTGACTGGCGAAGGAAGCTCCTCTCCTCTCTGCTCCCAGAAGTCTCTCCACATCTCGGGGATCTCCGGGGCCCTAGCTGGCGCGCTGGGTGGCTGACCTGGGAGTGCTCCTGCTGCCTCCGATCTCTGCCTCTCCTGTTGCTGCTCCGGAAGCTCCCCCGCTGCCTCCAACCTCTGCCTCTCCTACCATATCTCATCTATCCGTCAGGTTCTTCTCGCCCTCTTTTCTTCAGCCGTCTCTCCAGCTGGCGCCCTTTCCCTCGTGCGGAGGTCGACCCTCTTCGGGATCTCTGCTTCCATCT